TCTTTGAGCAGCAGTATGGTTTCATGCCAAGAAAAAGTACTACAGATGCAGTATTTGCTTTGAGGATGTTGATGGAGAAGTACAGAAGCCCCTTTTACACTGCCAGATTTTTGGGCAAATGTTGGGCCGTTTTGCCGGCAAGCTGCGAGTGTTTACACACAGAGCCAGATTGGCGAGTTGATCCAAGGTGCCCAATTTTCCGCCTCATAGGGTAGACATATTGGTGGAACCCATTTGGTTTAAAAAAGAACGAGGCACCTTTCCGCCACGGGAGGGGCTGTTGATGACTTGGTGGAGGAGCTGTTGATGACGCCACACCTGCGACCCACTGGCGGTGAATAAACAGGAAACAGCTGATAGCAGGAATGAGAAGCTAGTACTAGGAGCAAGAGGGAAACGCAAACCTGACAGACACTACCGTGAAGATGAGCAACTGGGGAGACAATGAATTGTGTGCCCTCCTTGTCCTCACAAAGGAAGAGGCCATTAACCGTTAAGTGACGGGGACGGTGAAGGGCAGGCCAACTTATGAGAGAATCGCCAAAGGACTGACCAGCCACGGCTTCCCTCCCACGTCACTGTTTACGTCACATGCTGAGCTACACATTTTGTTACTTGCTCACACCCCCCATTGCCCCGAAAAAGGCACATTCTGTATAAACAAAAGTAGGCAGGTGGCATTTTGCTGCTCTCCCCGATTTTGTTTTTATATGCCAATGCTGAAAGAAGACTGATTGGGCATTCCTGCAAATTTGCACAATGCCTATTTAAAAAGGGCTAGAGAAGGTCAGAGGGAACTGCATTGTGTCTTTGTAAATCTAGAGAAACCATATGACAGGGTGCCGAGAGAGGAGCTGTGGTATTGTATGAGGAAGTCTGGAGTGGCAGAGAAGTATGTGGTGGTGCAGGACATGTATGAGAGCTGTAGGACGGTGGTGAGGTGTGCCGTAGGTGTGACAGAGGAGTTTAAGGTGGAAGTGGGACTGTACAAGGATCAGCTCTGTGCCCCTTCTTGTTTGCTATGGTGATGGACAGGTTGACAGATGAGGTTAGACAGGAATCTCCATGGACTATGATGTTTGTAGATGACATTGTTATCTGTAGTAAGAGCAGGGAGCAGGTGGAGGAAAATCTAGAGAGGTGGAGGTATGCTGTTGAAAGGAGAGGAATGAAGGTTAGTCGTAGCAAGACTGAGTACATGTGTGTGAATGAAAAGGGCCCAAGTAGAATGGTGATACTACAGAGAATAGAAATAAAGAAGGTGGATGATTTTAAGTACTTAGGGTCAACAGCCCAGAGCAACAGAGAGTGTGGAAAAGAGGTGAAGAAACGTGTGCAAGCAGGTTGGAACGGGTGGACAAAAGTGTCAATTGAGATGTGTGATAGAAGAGTACCAGCAAGATTAAAAGGGAAAGTGTACAAGACGGTGGTGAGACCAGCGATGTTGTTTGATTTAGAGACAGTGGCACTGGGGAAAAGACAGGAGGCAGAGCTAGAGGTAGCAGAGGTAGCATGTTAGATGGTTTGGAGATAAAGTCAGAGAGGCCAGACTGAGATGGTTTGGACATGTTCAGAGGAGGGATAGTGAATATATCGGTAGAAGGATGCTGAGGTTGGAACTGCCAGGCAAGAGGCTTGGAGGAAGACCAAAGAGGAGATTTATGGATGTTGTGAAAGAGGACATGAAGTCAGTTGGTGTGAGAGAAGAGGATGCAGAGGATAGTTAGATGGAGGCAGATGATCTGCTATGGTGACCCCTAAAGGGAACAGCCGAAAGAAGAATTAGGAGGACAGGAGTTCAAGTGTGCCAACAATAGATTGGAGATGACCTTCTCAGAATCTCAGGACCTGGAGGTGAGAGGAACTGCTCCAACCCAGGCCACAGGGAAGAGATGGACTGCAGCTGCTATGGTGTTGGATGCGAAATCTGCTATCCAGCACTGAGACATAGTGGGCCATGTCCAAGAGGAGGATTTGGCCTTGGAGAAATAAGACCTACCTGGAAAAAGGCTACTCCAACTGAAATCCTCCAGTAGGAAGCAGCAAGGTGTGCCAGAGCCATATCCCAAGCCAAGCAAGACTGGATGAGATGGGAAGCAGTTGAGAGAAGGAAAGTCACGTGGGCTGAGATGTGGAGCAAGGAATCTAATCTTCTGAGCTTCATGATCAGAGCCACTTATGATGTCCTACCCTCTCCTGCCAACTAAATCTCTGGCTGGGAGAAGATCCTGCTCATCCATTGTGCTCTGTGCCAGCATCACTTAAGCATATCCTGGTAAGATGCAAGACCAGCCTAACACAAGGAAGATACACCTGGCAACACAACCAGGTACTTAAGTGCTTGGCAGCTGAGCTTGAGACCAAGAGGGTAACCACCAACACCATGCATCTCAAACCTTAGGATAAGTTCCAACGGTCTGCATTGTTCGTTCAGTAGGGAGAAAAACAAGTAGCAAGTCTCTTGCCTCCCGATTCAAGCCTGCTACATGAAGCCAAGAACTAGGACATGCGTGCTGACCAGTGTCTCATAGTGCCACCAGAGATAGAAGCAACCAAATTATGACCAGACCTGGGGCCTCATTTATAAAACTGTGCGCAGGTAATGTAACTAGATGTGATGTACGAACAAAGCACAGAAAGTGTTTACGCACAAAAATATCCTGATTCATAACACAGTGCTCACGCATGTCCCACACCTGTTTCCCTTTATAAATCACATTCAACTTGAAATGTGGCGCAGGTGAATGAGCATCTTGCCCCACTCATGGGTGCCTATAAATGGCCAGTGAAACGCCCTGCATTAATATTAATTAGCAAGAAACAGCATGAAGGAGAGCATGGCAAATGTAGCAAGAAGGTAAAAGAAAAAAAAAACTAAACTTCACACAATGTGAAGTTTAAGTTCTTGTTGGGGAGGTTGATAACAGAAACTCAATATGGGCATTACTAAGGCTAAAAATGCAGCAGAGTGGCAGCTGGTGGCAGATGCCTCAAACTGTGTCAGAAGTCAAGAAGTGGTCCGATATTAAGGTGTTAAGGCTATTTGCGCTAATTTATTTAGACAGAAAACTGAGGGAGGGTTGGAGGTGACTGTCAGACAGTTTCAGTGACTGTCTGAAAGAAAAACACTCTAAATGAGGGATACAGTTGTCATAGCTGACAAACAATCTGATTTTCTTGACTCAAATGATTTCTTAAAATACGCCTTGTTTTCATAAACGACGCATCGCATCCAGATGCTGCCGTGCAGCAGCAGCAGCATTTGGCTCAAATGCCCGGGTATAGGGCTCAGGGTCTGACATCCGTGTCAGGCGGTAGTGGCACGTTTCCCAGCTGTACAACATTGTACAACACAGCACCGGCACAGCTTGGTTTCTCTCTCTCTCTCTCTCTCTCTCTCTCTCTCTCACTCTCACTCTCTCCCTCCCTATTACTGCATCTTGCTAACTCGTATTGCAGCGGTGCCTGGATAGTGTGACGTGTGTGGCTGTGCTGCTGCCGTGGTCCTGCCAGATGCCTCCTGCTGCTGCTGTTATCATTAGTCATACTTCTACTGTTATTATAAACATGATTATTGTCACACATGTATACTATCAGATATTAATATATTATTATGAATTATAATATTATTACTTTCATTAATGTTGTTGTAAGCTACTGTCATTACCGTTTGTCCTGCATCTCTCTCTGTCTCTGTCTCTCTCTCTTTCTGTCTCATTGTGTCATACGGATTACTGTTAATTTATTATGTTGATCTGTTCTGTACGACATCTATTGCACGTCTGTCCGTCCTGGAAGAGGGATCCCTCCTCAGTTGCTCTTCCTGAGGTTTCTACCATTTTTTTCCCCGTTAAAGGGTTTTTTTGGGGAGTTTTTCCTTATCTGCTTTGAGGGTCATAAGGACAGAGGGATGTCGTATGCTGTAAAGCCCTGTGAGGCAAATTGTGATTTGTGATATTGGGCTTTATAAATAAAATTGATTGATAGATTGATATGGGTGCTTCTTTGTAAAGCCGGGCTCGACGCAGCGCAGAGATCCAGCAGCACTGCACGTGGCAGTTGGAACCGGCTAGTAAGTCACTCATCATCGTTGGCCAAACATGTTATTTGTTTACACTTTTCCTAACAGGGACACAGTGCTTTGCAATGACATACAACACATTTAACACACACAGATAAATTAAAAGACATAAAACAAACACATTATAAAACACAATATATTGGCTCATATAGGATAAAAGTGACACTCTGCACCAATATCTGCCTGACTAAGGCATTGGCAATGGCAGCACATACACTCAATTTGTCCAACTGTTCACATCATTATTTTACTGACTAAAGTTCGTCAGATTATCTAATGATTATAGAAAATACATGAGGAGTTTTAAAATAAAGATAAAGATCCTAACTTGTGTTTTAATGTGTGCACACCAGGGACTATCACTCAAAGCATGTTTGTTCTTTATTCATATTTGTCTGTTTTTGCAAGTGCACTCACCATATATAAAATGTGAGAGGTCATATCTGACTTGATTTTACACACTGATATCAAATTCACAACATTTCTTCATTTTCATCTTTCTGCCATGGGGGTCACAGTCTCTCATGTCAACAGTTTTTGTGCGTACGCATAGGTCAGCGCTTCCGTGGAAACCGAAGCACACAGCTGAAACACCTATGCTCTTGCACGAAGCATGCTGAAACTCCAGGGATTGTAACACCAAGTCCTAACTGATGAATCAAAACACAGCATGCATGATCAAAAAAGGGGACAGTAAAGTATCCTGAGCAATTCTGGCTAAGGGTCAGTGTTAAGGAGGTGTGAGGTCATTGTGATGATCATCAGTCATTTGGTGACACAGTGGATAGAAGTAGCATGAAGCTGTAAGTTTTAAGGCTCCACTGTAAAATGGGCTCAGTGATTAAGGTTGAAGGGAGCCATGAAGGAGGGAGAGGGGTTTTTCAGGGGTTATGATCTAAGTTATGACTAGTGAGCTTACCCAGGAGATATTCAGTCCATCCTGTTCATCACAACTTTCACCCATCATGTGGCTCTCCCTCTGGTTCTTCAGAGAATGTAAGACAGAGATGACCAGCTCTGTGGCCTCATCCTGAAACACACAGACACGCACGCATGGATGCACGCACACACAAAAAAAAACACAAAAAGGGATTTGCAGATAATGACATTTGCATACTCTGTACACAAATCACCACAGATTATTAGCATGCCACCTGACTCTGTGGGCCTATCCAAACGGTCTGGACAAATGTTACACTCAAACTATGTTCTAGGTCAAAGTACTTAAGTCACCCAGTCTCTATAGCCTACTTTACACTACATGGTTCAAGTGACCCAATTCCGATTTTTTCCTGTCAAGTGGCACAGATCGGATCTGTAACATGAACGTGTAAACAGGAAAAAAAACGCACGGTATCGGATATTGTCAGATCAGATTCAGGCCTCCTTCATATGTGGAAATATATCGGATATGAATCAGATATCTGCCAATAGGTCTGTAATCTAAACAGACAGATCGGATATTTCCTGGCAATCCATGTTGTACGTCATGAATAATGCGACGACAGCGCATTTTGATGACGTGCTCATGAAGGAAAGCAGAATAAATCGCACATTAATCGAAAACTATGAACCAAAAAAAGCACAATCTATCCCGAGTAAGACAAACTGCTTGATCCCCGTCTCCAGTGTACCAGCAGAGAACCTGCAGAACCAAATCAGCGAAAAAACACACTGGGCTACACAGCCTCTCTACCTGAGCAGCTGAAGCTGCGGCTTGCACCCTCGACACACAGACACACAGACGGTGCTTCTGCATGCCAGCCAAACGTGTGCGCAACTGTGAGAAATAAATATGTGAGGTGTACGCTGCTTTTCTATCTTTTTTTTATTTTTCTTTCTTTTTTTCTGTCAGCGACATATACTCCTAACACAGGGCGGGTTGTTTTTATTGACTGAGTTGATTATTAAGCCATAGTGATACGTGGATTGGCTCTGATAGCACCCGAATTAGCATGTACCTATCAATCATCCAGCCGCACCCGTCTGCAGCTGCACGGACATTTCCACCGCTCTGTGTAGGCTAAGTTACCTTTTAAATTATGTGGAACAGCGCCAGCTTTCCAGGTAATTTATTCTTTAACGATTAACTTCAAATATTTAAAGTTAGTCCTTAAAATTGCTTTCAGTAACGTAAACATTTCCATGCACGCAGTAATGTCACTGTAGCAAATACCGTGGGACATTAAACAGTGGTCAAGAGTGCTGGACCGGAAGTGTCGCACAAAAAAACGGAAAATGGCTGCGTTCTGTTTTGCCTCCGTGTCTCCGTGAAAAATAAGGTGAATAGAACATGTAAACAGCAGTCAGGAAAAATCGGATATAGGCAACAAATCGAATTTGGCATCAAGAAATGGTAGTGTAAAATCAGCCTATGTTGAACCACCACTCAGCCTTACATAGCCAACACTGATTGCCTTAACAATTTCTAAGAAAACCCTTTCACTTAATTGTAGGGATGCACGATAATATAAGCACGTCAATGGCTTTAAAATGAACTATTAGAACTGGCCCCGTATGCTTTTTCTTATTTTGCACAATGAATGAATATTACATTGGAAAGTATTGTATTTCATGTCTCCATCTCTTGGTGGGCCACCATGATAACAGTATGCATGCATAATATGATGTTAATTCCACTACAGACTACATGGTGGGGAAAAAAGTGGATACATCTATACTGGAATAAGTTATCGGTCAAATAAGTTGTTATACTGTATATCGGCATATCTGATATCGGCAAAATCCAATATTGTGCATCCCTATTTTTTCCACCTACTCCATTTCTTTCATGGTATTATTATTATAAGGGGTTCAAGCTTTAAATGATGTTGTTTTTCTGTGAATTAAAGATGTTTTTCTTCTTTTGAAATATTGGTGGAAATTCCATTGAGATGATATATGGTAAAAACATGAAATTATCACCAATAATTGGAAACTGTGTGCAAATGCTGCCCAAAAAATATAAGCTTAATAGTCCTGATGGGATCACTATAATTAAGACCGAGAAATATAATTTTGGAATGACCATGCGCCTCACTGTAAGCTGCATTGACCCGAAATTATAAGTCCAGATCAATGTGCTTTACAAGAAAGCTTTACAAGAACCATTAAAGTGCACCCAGCTAGATCTTCCACCATTTTGGATCTTTGAAAAACACTTTTGACACCGCTTCCTAAACTATATTCCTGATTTGTACCAAATTTTCTGAGGATCATTATTGGACCAAGCATTAAAAAGCTCCAAAAATCTTGTTGATATCTTACTGCGTTTGAAAGATATTGACCAATGAATTGTAGAGGGGGTGTGGCTCAGCACATAGAGAACCAACTCCATAACAGTTGGGCCAAAAACATGTAGGAAATGTCTACATAAGTATGAGCAACATACCCTGAAAGTTTCATTCAAATCGACCTCGAGGAGGTACGACATATACAACAAATGGGCGTGACATACATCAGACTATAAGTCAGAAATTGTACAATCTTTACAAAATTTGCAGAATATGTAATATAATAATGTTGAACGATGTGTGTAAAACTATTTTGAAATTGTTTAATGGGGGAACCACCAGTGACAAGTGCAATGGCCTTCCACAAAATTTGCCCATAAATCAATGACAGTTTGTCCAAACATCACCAAACTAAGCGGATATTTTTATGTTAGCCATTAAAGCATGCCCCCAAAATGTTTCTGCAGTTGACCAACAGAAAGCAACTGTGTTTCCAAAGAAGAGTGTGGCCTGGTAGAGGTTTGAACATACTTGACTGAGCATCTGTCCAATTGTCATTCAACCTCTTGGTTATCTTTAATGCTGGTGTCGTAAACTGTCAAAACGTCTTGATCCTTTGCAACTTATACGTTTTAAAGGTCCATGTTGGCTTGAGCTCCAGAATCGCCACTTGCAGTTATATTTATTATTGTATTCATTATTATTATGTGTATATATAGTATTATATATTATGCTTATTATTTATATGATGTATTTTTCTTTTATTATTTGCTCAGTCTGTCTTCTCTTTCCTGTTTCCAACATAAACTCAACTCAAATTTATTAATGAAGCACATTTAAAAACAACATTGACCAAAGTGCTGTGCAAAAGTAATAAAATGCTATAAACACATAAATGACAACAACATAACTGTCAGTTAGAAAGCTCACACATTTAGAAACACAGCACACAACAAACAACTGCTTTGCATATCTATGACAGCAAGAATACTATTATACCTGATCATTTTTTGTTTGCTTGTTTTGTTTTGTCCCTATAACTGTCTCCATCTACCCCCATGTATGCACGTATGACACTACCTTGATTTTTTTATACTGCCTTTTGCACTGATAAAAAAGAAAAAAAGAAAGTGAAGATCCAATGACAATATTGTTTTCAATTCAACATGCATACCAGGTATTGATCTTTATTACAACCTCGATTAAAAAAAGTTGGGCTGTTGTGTAAAAGGAAAAAAAAAAAAAACAGACTGCAATGATTTGCAAAGCCTTTTTTTTAAAAAAAGATATTTAATGTTCAAACTGATAAATACACTCATTCTGAATTTGAAACCTGCAACATGTCTCAAAAAAGTTGGGACAGGAGCAACAAAAGACTGGGAAAGTTGTGGAATGCTCAAAAAAAAACACCTGTTTGGAACATTCCACACGTAACCAGGTTAACTGGTACAAATTATAGTATCATTAATAGGTATGAAAGGGCATCCTCAAATGGCTGTTATTCGCAAGCAAGGATGGTCACTTTATGAAAAACTGCGTAGACAAATAGTCCAAAAGTTTAAAGAGGACCTATTATGTTTTTGGGGGTTTTCACTCTTCTTTAGTGTGGGGTTTTTGTTTTGTTTTTTTTAGCATTTTTCTGCCTCTATAAGGTCTGCTAAGTAAAAAAAAAAAAAAAATCCAGGCTAAAGGGAGACCTCTCTCCCCACAGACACACAGTTCCTCAGCTGCCTGAAACAGCTTGTTTGAATTTCCCGCCTCTACTTCTGTGAATTTATTGGCTCACAATGTAAGGCAACTGAGTCGCATCCCCAAACAAACCTGCTCCAAGCAGAGCTAGAGCAGAGGTTGCAGAGAGTTTGAACTGTTGAGGAGATTTGAGGAGACGCCATGTCTAGGAGATGCTGCTTTTTCATTGTGACCAAAAATTGCCCTTGTTTGGACTGCCAAACGAAGAAGGAACAAAGAAGTGGCTGGAATTTATTTTTGATACTATTCCTCCACAATACAACCCGGACATTTTATTGTGTTCCCTCTATTTTCCTGAGGACTGCTTCATAAACTGGCAACAGATTACTGCTGGATTTTCACAGCAGTTACTCCTGAAAGATGGCGCAGTTCCCTTTGTTGGACAAATCTGGAGATTCAGGATCACAACCTGTAAGTATGCTTCATGAGTTGTGTGAATTTGTTGTGTAAAAACAAACCAGGAGGCTGCTGCCAAGTGTTGAAGTGTGGAGTAGATGGCTGTAGGAGCTAATGTACACCTGCTGTACACCCAGTGCTTAGCTGTAGGCCTTGGCTAACTGGCTAACCATTGTTTTAAAATGCTTTTGCTACTCGGCTTACAGTTAGTTAGACTGCTAGCTGGGTGGTGTCGGTAAGATGAATTTAATAACTGAATTATGGAGAATCAATAAGTCATGCACAATCTAAGCAGCTAACTGCCACTAGCTCAAGTGATTAGCCGACAGCACAGCAACAGTCAGACCTGGGGTGGAAGTAAGACCTGCATATATTTATCAAAATGTGTGGCTGTACTCAGGGTTTGATTGTGAATCGGCTTTTGAAGAGGACCTATTACGCTTTCTACCTTTTCTTTTGTGTTTTACACAGCATTATAGCTGTAGGTCTCGGCTAACTGGCAAACCAAAGCTATTGTTTTGAAATGCTTTTGCTCCTCGGTGTACAGTGAGTCACACTGCTAGTCTCAATAAGATGAATTTAACGATTAAATTGTGGAGAATCTAACTGAGCTAAGATGTGAAGCATGTCCATGTGGGAACTGCCCATTGGTTCGACAGCCCATTGGTTCAACATCCCATTGTTCCGACCATATTAAACTTATTGTTCCGAAGTCCGTTCCGAAATCATCATGATGCCCTGTGGTTAAGGTCTGGTTAGGTTTAGGTACAAAAACAACTTGGTTAGGGTCAGGAAAAGATCATGGTGTGGGTTAAAATGAAAAAGAAAGTGACAAACACATAAGCCGTGAGCCTGCTCCGTCTCAAGCCGGTCGCGGCGCACCATATGCCCGCCGCAAGCCGTTCAGCACCGCGGACAGTCGGACTAATGGGATGTCGAACCAATGGGCTGTCGAACTAATGACATGGACCCGTCCATATTGACAAAAGTTTCTACACTTGTATGTGTCATGCCCAATCTAAAAAGCTAACTGCCGCTAGCTCGAGTGATTAGCCAACAGCACAGCAACAGTCAGACCTTGGGTCGAATTAAGATCTGAAATTTATTTGTCAAAATGTGTGGCTGCACAAGTTTGATAGTGAATCGGCTTTTATGGAAAATGTACAACCTGCTTTCTTTTTTACTTGGAGCTCTGTTACATGGAGGCCGTTCACAAAATTGTTACTAACATTGTAGTTAGTCTGAGTTACATAGCTGGAGAGATATTTATGTGATGAAAGGATGTTTTGTGTGTGTCTTTCTCTACCTGTGTTTGAATACCTGTGTTTGGTCTGCTGATTTTACAGGGGACAGCACTGTTCAGCGTTTTAGATGTTGACTTCATCTGGTGCAATATCAGTTTAAGTTACTTAATTTTCCTTTTTCTTTTAGAGTACATCACAGCAGGGCCCTGGTGCCCAACACCTCTCCACTACAGCCAGATTCCAGGATGTAGGATGCCAAACGGACCCTCCACAAACCGTCTCAGTGGGCACACAGTCTGTGGCATCTCAGGAGATGGTAGTGATCAGCACACACCTGTACAGGGCAACTCTGAGGGAGCAGCCCGAGAAGCAAAGGTATGTAACGCAGAAATTTTATGTGGTTTTGTGTTTGACATACAGCACCTGGAAATATTTTACAGTACTGAAATGCTGTTTCCCAAAAGCTACAGAATATGTATTTCTGCATCACACTATCACATGCTTTTGACTTTGTTATGATGTTAGAGCAGGAAAAAAAGGGACATATTTTCTTTCATTTGGACTTTCAGCTGTCATCAACAACTATAAAGGGCATAGGTTTCAAAACAAGTACGAGACCTCATGTTGAGTTGGATGAGAAAGACGGAGAAACTGATACAGAGCTAGTAGACCCTCATGACTCAACATGTAACCGTGGCAACTCTGTTAATACAGAGGAATCTGAGATTTATTTTATAAGTTTCATATTTTTTGTATATGTTACTATGAGCTATTATCAGAGTTTAAAAAAAAAAAACACGCTCTATGTTGCACCAATCACAATATACTGAGCGAGCTGACCAATCACAGCAGAATAGGCTGCTGGGGAGGAGGGACATAAGCCCAAACACAGCATTTCAGACAGAGGTGTTTTTTGAACATTAAAGCACATAAATCTATTCCACTAGATCCAAATATTATATATTAATATGACCCTGAAAATAAGCATAATAGGTCCACTTTAAGAACGTTTCTCAAAGCACAGTTGTGGGAATTTAGATCTCACCATCTACAATCTATAATATCATCAAAAGATTCAGAGAATCTGGAGAAATCTCTGGATGTAAGGGGCAAGGCTAAAAATCAACACTGAATGTCTATGACCTTTGACCCCTCAGGCTGCACTGCATTATAAGCCAACATGATTGTATAAAGGACATTAATACATGGGCTCAGGAATGTGTTGGAAAACCATTGTCAGTAAACACTGTCACAGTTCATCGCTGCATCTACAAATGTAAGTTAAGACGCTACCATGTAAAGTGACAGCCATATATCAACAACATCCAAAAAAACTGCAGACTTCTCTGAGCCTGAGCTCATCAAAGATGGACTGACACAAAGTTGAACAGTGTGCTGTGGTCTGACGAGTCCACATTTCAAACTGTTTTTGGAAGTAATGGACATCATGTCCTCCGGGCTAAAGAGGAAAAGGACCATCCACATTGTTACTAGCTTAAAGTTTAAAGCCAGCATCTGTGATGGTATGGGGGTGTGTTAGTGCCCATGGCGTCATGGGTAACTTGCACAGCTGTGAAGGCACCATGAATGCTGAAAGGTACATACAGGTTTTATAGAAACATGCTGGCATCTAAAAAATGTTTTTTTCAGGGACGTCCCTGATTATTCCAGCAAGACAGAGAGGCACATTCTGCACATGTTCCAACAGCGTGGCTTCGTAGTAAAAGAGTACAGGTTTTAGACTGACCTGCCTGCAGACCAGACCTGTCTCCCACTGAACATGTGTGGAACATTATGAAGCACAACATACAACAACAGACACCGCAGACTGTTGAGCAACTGAATATGTAAATCAGGCAAGAATAGGAAAGAATTTCACTTTCAAAAATTTAAAAACAACTAGTGTCCTCAGTTCACAAACACTTACTGAGTGTTGTTAAAAGGAAAGGTAATGTCACACAGTGATAAACATGCCCCTGTCCTAACTTCTTTGAGATGTGCTGCAGGAATAAAATTCAGAATGAGTGTATATTTACAAAAACAAAGTCATCAGATTGAACATTAAATATTTCATCTCTGTAATATACATTTAATATAGGTTGAAAAGGATTTTCAAACCATTGCATTGTTTTGATTTCGGTTTTACACAGTGTCCCAACTTTTTTGGAATTGGGGTTGTACAACAATAAAACATTGGAAAACCTAAAAATATACATCTATCTGACCAGTGTTAGACTTACTGTTCTCTCTTGGCTTGGCTCCACCGTTATCACCATATGGTCTTTAAACCTCAAACATACCATATCCTCTAAGGCAGGAATCTTCCCAGCTGTAAGACACACACACACACACACACACACACACACACACACACACACACACACACAAAATAACACAAAAAGGGATTTGCAGATAATGACATTTGCACACTCTGTACACAAATCACCACAGATTATTAGCATGCCACCTGACTCTGTGGGCCTATCCAAACAATCTGGACAAATGTTACACTCAAACTATGTTCTAGGTCAAAGTATTTCAGTCACCCAGTCTCTATAGCCTACTTTACACTACATGGTTCAAGTGACCCAATTCCGATTTTTTCCTCTCAAGTGGCACAGATTGGATCTGTAACACGAACATGTAAACAGGAAAAAAACGCATGGTATCGGATATTGTCAGATAGGTCTGTAATCTAAACAGACAGATCAGATATTTCCTGGCAATCCACGTTGTACGTCACGAATAATGCGACGACAGCGCATTTTGATGACGTGCTCATGAGGGAAAGGAAGGAAAGCCGAATAAATCGCACATTAATCGAAAACTATGAACCAAAAAAAGCACAATCTATCCCGAGTAAGACAAACTGCTTGATCCCCGTCTCCAGTGTACCAGCAGAGAACCTGCAGAACCTAATCAGCGAAAAAACACACCGGGCTACACAGCCTCTCTACCTGAGCAGCTGAAGCTGCGGCTTGCTCCCTCGACACACAGACACACAGACTGTGCTTCTGCATGCCAGCCAAACGTGTGCGCAACTGTGAGAAATAAATATGTGAGGTGTACGCTGCTTTTCTATCTTTTTTTTTTATTTTTCTTTCTTTTTTTCTGTCAGCGACATACACTCCTAACACAGGACGGGTTGTTTTTATTGACTGAGTTGATTATTAAGCCATAGTGATGCGCGGATCGGCTCCGATAACACCCGAATCAGCATGTACCTATCAATCATCCAGCCGCACCCGTCTGCAGCTGCATGGACATTTCCACCGCTCTGTGTAGGCTAAGTTACCTTTTAAATTATGTGGAACAGCGCCAGCTTTCCAGGTGATTTATTCTTTAACGATTAACTTCAAATATTTAAAGTTAGTCCTTAAAATTTCTTTCAGTAATTTAAACATTTCCACGCGCGCAGTAATGTCACTGTAGCAAATACCGTGGGACATTTACACAGTGGTCAAGAGTGCTGGACCGGAAGTGTCGCACAAAAAAAGGGAAACTGGCTGCGTTCTGTTTTGCCTCTGTGTCTCCGTGAAAAATAAGGTGAACAGAACATGTAAACAGCAGTCAGGAAAAATCGGATATAGGCAACAATAGGCAACAAATCGGAATTGGGCATCAAGACATGGCAGTGTAAAGGCAGCCTATGTTGAACCACCACTCAGCCTTACATAGCCAACACTGATTGCCTTAACAATTTCTAAGAAAACCATTTCACTTAATTGTAGGGATGCACGATAATATGCATCTAAGGCAGGAATCTTCCCAGCTATAACACACACACACACACACACACACACACACAAACTTACATGCACATATGCAAAAAACGGCCAAGTGAAATATATTAATGTGCGCATAGTATACAGTCCCCTACACATTTGAACACACACAAACACAAACAAGCTCACATGGTGTAAGCAGCTCCTGCTGGCTGTACGGTGGCAGTCTGTTCATGATGAAGTCTCTCTTCATGTGAGTGGAGGTCACTTCCTGCATCCCTGTTTCCATTTCATCAGCCAGAGATCTGAATCTAGCGGCTAGCAGCCTGGCGGTGTCCAAGCCTTCACTATTACCCTACACACACACAAATACAGCCAACAAACCCAGTCTGGGTCAGTGTGAATGCTTGTTGCTGAAATTGTGAATCAAAGCTAAAGTGACATTTCCCCAGTGTACAGCAGAAGCTTTCAGTGTTTGCAAGTCTATGTGTACGTCCACCAACTGAAGTCATAACTAAAATAACCGCATCAAGTTGTATGCCTTCGCACACCAGCGGAGTTGCAGTTGCAGTTGCTTTGTGGTTGCATTAAAATAGAGACCAGGTCTTTCCCACGCTGGTAAATGATAAATGCACTTATCACACACACATTCATACGCTGGCAGCAGAGGCTACTTTGCAAGTTGCCACTAGGAGTGGGAATCACCAGAGGACCTATGATACAATATTATCACAATATTTACATCATGATATGATATTATTGTGATAATAAATGTACTGTAATATGCTGAGTATTGCGATTATTATAATTTATTACCTTTTTTTTTCCAACTGCAAAATATTTACCCAAAGGAAAATGTCAACATCAGTTTTACCTCCTAAGATAAAGTTTTCAGTCTGTTTAACTGACTTCAATCATTTTTTTGCAGCAAAATGTGATGCAAAGCAGACAGACTGACCATGACTGTCACAAAACCTCAACGGATTTAATGCCCTCTGAGAGGCCACATTAAGCATGTGAGAGAAACAATTCACACGCAGGTATTGTGCAAACTGAGAACTGAATGGCAACACCCTTGTTAAAAGGGAATAATCCCCCATTCTTGTGCTGCATTTTGCAGGTCTGCAATGTTTGCTCCAGTGTGACTTTCATGTTCTCTTTGACATAATGTGCCATTATAGTCGCATATGAATCCACTGACCTTGAAGCCCAGGTGTCCAAAGTTAATGCCACCCTTCCTGTTGTACTCAAAGATCCCTTGTTGCACGGTATACTGGTACCAACGGTAGACCACGGTACTTAAACACCATGGTACATATGATACCATAATGTTGGAGTACCGTAGTACTACGGTACCTCACGGTACCACTGCTGTGGGACAAGTTCAAAGTCCAATCGCAAGAGGGTGAGTGTCCATGCGCTGTCCAATAACGGCACGCGCCACCTGGCACTCAATATGCTGCTGCAGTGGTTTGTTTTCCAGAAACATTTCAGGTATTAGCTGAGCTATTGAGTATCTTTAAGCAGTGAAAGTTATTTTTTATTTATTTTTACTTGTAGGCTAGATTTGTTTATATATGCTACAGTGATTTGTTTTCCACAGAGCTCTACGGTGCGAGCATTTTACTCACATTTGCGACTAAAAATAGTTTTGTGCGAGCAAAAGAAATCATTCAGGAGCACGCTGTGCGAGTACAGATTTCAACCAGCAGCAGAAACGAAAGGCGAATCCTGTGGTTGTGGGTTGGACGGGGGTCACAGACAGGAATACAGCAGAGCGCTATGGCCACCGCAAGAAACCGCGGATTACCGGCAACCGAGAAGCCCGGCTCCAGGTCTAATAATTTCCTCTTTGTTGGTGTCACGACTGCCTAGTAGTACCTGAACAGCCGAGCCGTGGCGGCACACAGGTATGTGTCGTGTCAGAGGAGAAACGAGCCGTTCATAGTTCTCTCTTTGTGGCAGATAACGGTCCACAAACCTCACCGCACTTAAGGGACTGTTCTTAACTTGTCAGAGGAGGAGGGGGGCTGGTTGATTTTTGAAGTATGAATAAGTCAATAAGTAATTTATTCCATTGAAATATCATTGATGTATTATAGAAAAGATACTACTCAGAACCGTGATACTTTCACTGGTATCGTACCGTGGGTCCCAGTTTTGGTACCATGACAACACTACCCTTAACTTTATGCTTCACTTCCCTGTAGAGCTTGGGTACAGCTGTGTAGGTGAAAAAAGTCGGGACGGAGTCACATACCTGGGTTCCAGTGTTTATAGCATATAACAACAGCCTTTGTTTTCAACAATGCTGCATGGATCAGATCTCTGCACATGAAGTAGGTGATGGACTGTGTTATTTTCTGAGCTCTCAGAGTTAAATGGCTATTTTGTCAAGCTAAGTGTGTTCAGTGTTGATTGATTTTTCGACAGAGCAGGTCTAGCATTAGTTTGGCTGTCAGCGGCTAATGCTATCTCTGGTTGATAGTGTGTGAGGTGAGCCCTCATGTTTGTAGTATTCCCAGAGTATTTTATTCTCATATGACTCTGCCTGCAAATTACATATGTCATGTCCAAGTTCTCCTTTCTGTCCATGTTAAAAAACAATCTGAAATAAGTCCAGACGTTTGAAACACGGCACATTTCTGATTTCTTTCTCTAATGCCTCCATCTTTGTTTTGATAAACTTCCTGCCAAATGCCACGGACTGAGCCCACTGCTGAGCTCAAGAGGAAAAAAACATCAGCACCATCTCATGGACAGAAAAAGCAAATGATCTTATTCTAGCACCAAAAGTTGTATTAAAATGTGTATTTGCAAAAATGAATTATATATGTCATAAAAGATCGATACTTGGTGTCCGTGCATTGATAGAATATCACCATGCAAAATATCGCAATACCATGCTGTATCAATTGTACCCTCCATTTTGGGGTTTAGTATCTCTCCCAAGGACACTTTGACATGCAGAATGCAGGGGCCAGGCAACAAACCACCTAGTCTCGCCACCAGACAATCAGAGATCTCTGCCTTCTGATAGTCTGGGGACACTCCTTTCTAAAGTGTGTTTAACACACTGGAGAAAACGGCCGGCAACAAAGCAACCCTTCTTGCATTTTTGAAAAGGACACGCCCTCCCGGAAATGTGCGCTCCCCCTTTTCTCGTCCAGAACCAAACAAACACACAGAGAGCTTGAAAATGGATGCCGAGAGATTTAACTCTGTTTTATCAAACGTGTGCTCAGTCCACAAGATTGTGCAAATGAAGCACTTACAGCGACTTTGTTTGAAACTTTTAACACAGTCGGACTATGTTTACAAGCACAAGAGTTCAGCGAGCCACCGAAGGACCGCCCTGCGGATTTACTATTGGTTCTGCAACGTAAGGAGTTTTTTTAAACTCTGAAATTGTATCTGCCCATCTAAACACAAAATCAGGGAGAAAGACATCAGTCTTTAGTTAAGCAAAGCATCTAAAGACTGACTTGTGAGTCTACAAACCACCGACCCACTGATAAGTGGATAACTGCTCCACCTTCTGAGCTACAGCTGAATACAAGATAATAAAATACAAGGGAAGCTCATCAAAACATTGCTCTACAATGTTGTCAAAAACTCCACAGGGTATCTTTTATTCTGCAATTCTGCATACAGTACAACTAAAGTATCATTTTAAGTTGTGTTACATTGATCCACACAAACAGTTTTACCAGTAAGAGTCTTCTGGGTATGCCCTGTCTCAGGCTGACTTCACTCTTGCTGCGGTCACACAGCAAGCTAGGAAATATGTCCAACAGCAAATCTCCCAATGACCTGGGGTAAGGACAGGTAAAAAAGGACAGGTCAGAGATTATCAGAGAACTTGACATTATTTACCAGCCACATCACAGAGGGACAAATTTCCAACAATTGCCCAAATTTTATTTAAAAAATACCATACACCTGCTCCCTCATAAATCTGTATATATCCACAAACAGGTGCCCCAGAAAACATCGGTTATTGTAATCTCTGTCAGTATATGGACCCCGCACCCGCCATGGCGACTGCACTAAGCTCTTGTTGATTATTGGCCCAGTCGTCTGTGAAACATCTGATCCAATCACATTCTCTTTTGCCTCCTTAAAAAACACATTGGCAACCAGGTAACAAATGTATTTCTATGAGATGAGAGTGGAGACAAGAAGAAAACAACACATATGCTGTACTATGGCAACATACAGACACAGTAAATGTTTGAACAAAGAACTGTCACACATGTGGTGCTTCTCAAAGTTAAGGAAGGATCCTTTAACAGCTGAATTTTTAATAAGACTACATCATAGAATAACGCCGAAAGACTGTTCCAATACCAAGGATTCTTCAAAGTCTACCAAGGACAGAATCCTTCCTTTAGAGAGTTTTCAAGGTGCCCATGTGTATCCTCAGTAGGCATGAAGAACTAACAATTCTTTGACCACAATTTGCGTGAACTGAAGGCAGGGCCTCTTCAATAACACACACCTGGGTACTTGCTAGTAGTGTTGCAGCGATACATCGGATATGAAAACTAATGGTTATCATACTGTGTTCATCATACATTTGCTTATCTACTGTATTGGAAAAAAAGTGCAACTGGACGGAGAATCTCATCTTTATTTTAGTTATTTTCAAAAGGGACACTTTTTACATATCCTTACATTAAAAAAATGCTTTCAAGTCTCAGTGAAAGTAATAAAACGTTTGTTCAACCATTAAAAACCCTTCCATTTCCTTCCTTTAAGGATCATTCTGACTGATACTAATAATTCTGTAATACCATGATACCATGAAACTGCAATATTTTCTGAGACAGTTATTGTATGATGAAAATCTCATACCGTTGCAACCTTACTCGCTAGCCTGTTCCAATGTATTTCCACCTAATGCTTGGAAGGAATCTTGCCTAGCATCTCTCTAGGACCCGACTTGAGAGGACCCATCCTACTGAGGAAGCAACCTTGACTTTGAGGAGCAGCAACTGGCTTTTCCTTGCAGCCTTGTTGAATGCTTGCCGTAGATATGTCCACAGCTGCCACTACAGCTACTCCTGCACAGACAAGAGTGCAATTCTTTTTAATAAATAACTTGCAGGTTTTGTGTAAAGCATGTTGTTACATGGTATGTGGGTTGGTGGTTCCCTCCTTGGTTCTATCCATGTGTGGAGTAGCTCTCAGTGGGCAGCACCTTGCATCACAACTCTTTTGCCATCAGAGTGTGTTTGTAAATGGATGAATGAGAGGCTTCTTTTAAAAAGCCCTCCCTAAGTGCAGTCCATTTATCATTTCCACATCCTGAGCAGCAGTGGTGTATTTTGGCACTATAGTATACACTACATCAGTTATGTGTGGTCACAAATACAAGTACAGAAGTTCAACAGACATATCTTTCAACCTTTAGAGGCCAGTGCAGTTATGTGTTTCCTACTTCCAAGATGTATTCTGGAGTTACCCTCAAAAGGTCCAGTGTGTAGGATTTAGGGGGATGTATTGGCAAATATGGAATATAACATAATAAGCATATCTTTAGTGTATAATCACATGAAAATAAGAATTGTTGTGTTTTGATGTTTCTACAGTAGCCCACAACAGACACATTAAACACTGGCTCCAGATAGGGCCATTGGCATTACTGCTTTTTCGCATCAGCCACTGTAGTAAGAAGCCCATCTGCAACAAGCTGCGGAGTGCAAGTCTGGATCTAAGGTTTATCAGAGAAAAAAGGTGGGCACATATTGGCAGGTGCTGGGCTAGCAGTAGTCTCCGCCAAGCCAAACTGCGACAGAGATACACTAATTTGTAATGTGAAACTGCTTTATTCAGTGTTTTTACCAGTTTAAATATTTGGCTCCAGAACAATGAACACTGAGGGAATTCTAACCAGAAGAAGTTTTAGCTGGTTGCAATCTGCAATTCATTACAAGACACCACCAAGTCCCCCTGAGTCTTACACAATTCACCTTTAACAAAGCAATGATAAATTCCACTATACTTCAGTGAGGATCTGAGTAAATTCTTCATTGACAAGTTTTTAAATCTTTTTGCCAGAAATGATGATCCAGTAAGGTTCCATATTCTATTGACTTTACAATGCTGGACAGGAAAGCCTTCTCTGTTGTATTGATCTTTATTGTCTTATTCAAAGCAGACATCTTTTTTTATTATGATTCAGCTGGTACTGTGGCAAAACCTAGTGCACCAAACTAGAGATTGGAAATCAAATACTTGGAGCAAAGAGTCACGATGTGTCTGAAGAAGAGGCAATTCAGCCGCCTTTCACAGTCACAACACATTTGCTCCTAATTTAATCGGTACAGCTGTCTGCACAGGTTGTATAATGAGCTGCCATGCTATATGTGCATTATAGTGACCCAAAGCATGATCTAGAGCATATTTAAACCTTTTCAGCTGTTTAGCGTGCAGTATTAGTATTAGTATTAGTGATTGTGTGCCTCTGTATATTGCCAAAACGCATGTGACATCCACTCAATACTGTGTTTAGACAGGGTGTTAAATTGAAGGCTACAGAGAAGAGGAGATGTCATACATTCTCTGGTAGGTGCTGAGAGTCACGTGGGTGGAGTGGTCCACTCCTGCGGGTGTCTCTGCTTGATGAATGGTTCCTCTGGGAAAGTACAGAAGATCTCCTGCCTGTGGAGGGAGAGGATTACTCACTTATACAGAAAACAAAAATGTTTTATACCAACAAGATATTTGTCTCATGTTTTATTTACAGATATATGAATATAAATATTTGGGATGCTCTAAATAAACATGTATGACAGTGTATTTCAATTTCTGCCAATATCCAGCAACTTCACACAGCACATTGAAGAGGAGTACACCAACATTTCACAGGTCACAATCAACAACCTAATCAACTTTGGGTTTCTGCGGTATCTGTGACCAAAAAATGCATTTCTGGGGTGTTAGTCATGTAAAATCCTACTAAATGTCTTTTTTCTAAGACAAAACAACAATTTTACAGTGTCCTTTTATTGTGACCATCACAAGGCACACCTGTGTAGTAATGAAGCTGTTTAATCAGCATCTTGATATGCCACACCTGTAAGGTGGATGGATTATCGTTGCAAAGGTGCAAGAGCTCACCAACAAATATTTCAACAAATTTGTGTACAAATTTTTAGAGAAATAAGTCTTTCGTATGCATAAAAAAGTTTTAGAACTTTTACTTTAACTTGTGGAAAAATGGAAGCAAACACAAAAGTGTTGGGTTTAAAATAAGGATGTGATAGCTAGCTTAGCAGTGGAGTTTATGTCAGTCAACAAATGAAGAGAGGATAGCGTTGCATCAAAAAAGGACAACACAGCACCGTGGGACTAATCCTTGGACATCGTGGGTTTTTGTTTTGAATTGGCCTTTGGATTTAAAACCTTTTTTTTTTTCTTTACCGTGGTCAGGACAGCACATTGTTGTCAGTTACTGTACTTCGAACGCACGTATTCACTCCTCTGAGCTTCTTCACAGACTGTAACGGTAACACATCTGTGAGCCTGATTGTTTTATTCAACCAATCAATCATGTCTTTATTGCAGACTCAGTGGTCCATAAAAGAATACAATACAAAAACATAAAATACAAAATATACATTCCACATAAAAGACAGCAGTCCTATATAAAATGTACAAAAATGAAAACAAATACAGGCTTTTATCCCAATGCTCCCTGAGGCTAGATGTGCAGCGAATACAGCTCTTCCCTGGATTGGTTAAGGCCACAATGATGCAGTTTTCTATGTCTACATATGCATTTGTAGATTAAGTTCCTTAACACTGCCTTCAAATTATTGACCCTGGCAGTCACAAATATCTCACTCACACTGCACCATCTAGGTTTTTTAAGTAGTATTCTCAAGGCATCGTTATATGCCGCTTGAAGTTTCTGCACGCTTCCTTTTTTATAGCTACCCCACAAATGAGCAGTATACAGTGGTGTAAGTTACAATAAGATCGAAATAAAATCAACTTTACACTCTCAGAACACATGCTAAACTTGTGTACCAGGGTGTTCGCCTGAGCATACAACCTGCAGCACTGTCTGTAGATATCCTCATCATCTTTCATTTGTTCTGTGATCATATGTCCAAGATACCTGACCTTATTTTTTTAGGCAAAGAATATTATTAGATAATTTAAAGTCTGGAAATTTTACATATTTGTCCTCATTGGTTCTGCTGATTAACACAACACTCTTACTGGCATTATATTTAATATCATTTTCCACGTCATACTCAGTGCATATTTTAAGGAGCTGCTGAAGACCAGCGCTACTCTATGGTGTAAGAAAACTATCAAAAAGATGTGTGCATAATTTTAACCATTCGTATTCGTAATGTTAAACATTTGTATGTCAATAAAATTGTTGTACATAAAATTCTGCTGTCATATACGTGAGTCTGAAATTGTTCGGGTTAGGATTTTTTTTTTTTAAGATATTTTTTGGGGCATTTTTAGCCTTTAATTGATAGGACAAGTGTGAAAGGGGGGGAGAGAGAGGGAGTGACATGCAGCAAAGGGCCACAGGCTGGAGTCGAACCCGGGCCGCTGCGGCAACAGCCTTGTACATGAGGCGCCTGCTTTACCACGAAGCCACCGATGCCCCAGGGTTAGGATTGTTTTTATGTGAGTATGAATCTAAAAGCTGTGAGTGCAAAGTCTTGTGAATACAACTCTAACTTCTACGACTACGAAGTCCTCACTGTGAACACGAATTCAAGTTTGTGGATAGGAGTAGAAAAGTGTTGAAATTACATCTCTGAGGTCACAGGCAGGTCACAGGGCAAAGTAATCAAACCGCGATTCCTCCGAACGCGCATGCCCCAAAGGCAAAGATGGCTAACGACAGAGGACCGGGTGGAGCTGACAGCTTATGTTACTGTGTCCTATTTCTGCAGTCCTGTAAATCATTTTGTAGACCAAACAGCCTACATCAAGACATTTCTGATGTAAGCTGCTAACAGAGTTTATTCATTTATTTTTCATTTTCATTTCTTCCACACCATCACCAACACATGCTCATTCTTACATACAGGTAGGCCGTTCTGAAATGAAAAGTAAATACATGCTATCTATAACTAGGTGGTAAATAAACCATAAACATCAAATATCAAATTAAATGAATAGTATTAAATACATCTGCATCAATAACCTGGAAAATAAGCCAACAGTTCACAAAGAGACAAACCAGGCATACATTTAGGTACTCATACTGCCATCTACTGGTGGAGAGTCAGCTTAACCTACTTCCACTCTGTTTCGCTCAGGCAACAGCGCATTACGGTGGAAACCCAGTTAAATACCACCGCTAACAGTAACAACTCTGCACACACAGTAATTGTTGGTTAAACTATATTGCGAACTGTGTTGCACCAAAATATGCAAATCATTAATCTAAGACTTTACTCATGCTGTGTAGATGAATCAAATGCACAATATTAATCTACATGTATGTAGATATATATATATACAGTACAGGTCAAAAGTCTATTTACATTGTAGATTCTCACTGAAGGCATCAAAACTATGAATGAACACGTGGAGTTATGTACTTAACAAAAAAAGGTGAAATAACTGAAAACATGTTTTATATTCTAGTTTCTTCAAAATAGCCACCCTTTGCTTTGCACACTCTTGGCATTCTCTCGATGAGCTTCAAGAGGTAGTCACCTGAAATGGTTTTCCAACAGTCTTGAAGGAGTTCCCAGAGGTGTTGAGCACTTGTTGGCCCCTTTGCCTTCACTCTGCGGTCCAGCTCACCCCAAACCATCTTGATTGGGTTCAGGTCCGGTGACTGTGGAGGCCAGGTCATCTGCCGCAGCACTCCATCATTCTCCTTCTTGGTCAAATAGCCCTTACACAGCCTGGAGGTGTGTTTGGGGTCATTGTCCTGTTGAAAAATAAATGATCGTCCAACTAAACGCAAACCGGATGGGATGGCATGTCGCTGCAGGATGCTGTGGTAGCCATGCTGGTTCAGTGTGCCTTCAATTTTGAATAAATCCCCAACAGTGTCACCAGCAAAACACCCCCACACCATCACACCTCCTCCTCCATGCTTCACAGTGGGAACCAGGCATGTGGAATCCATCC